TCCTATTCTTGCTTTTTAATTCCCATCAGGGTATTAACAGGAAGTGGATCCAAGTGCCAGACTGACATTCTGGGACCTCCAGGGGGCGCTTCTGCACAACATACATCCTGGGCAAGGGTAGCTCAGCTTAATACACCACCTTGAATCTGTTTTCTATGGTTTGAACTTACCTCAGGTGAAAAACAAACAACAACAAAAAAGGGGGGAATCCCCCCTCTTTTGACTTAAAAAATGTTGTTCTACGGTCAGACTAATTCCAAGCCCCTTAGTGTGGCATGCCAGGCACCAGCATGATGCTAAAAGCCTTTCATCTTTGAAAGGGATTGCAGCAAATTCACTGGTTCATCTCTGCTTGTCATTTTGTAGGGTGATCCTTCTGCCCCAGAAGCCCTTCTCCTGTCTCAGGCTAAGGCCCTTCTTCTGCATTTGTCCCTGCTTCTGCCTCCCAGAGTACTCTGGAGTGATATTGAGTGCTTTCCAGTCTCCCACCACCAGGCCTTGAGCTCCATAAGGATGGGGCTCATTTTATTCTTCACTTATTTTCTAGCACTGAACACATGACAAGAGCATAAATATCATGAAGGGGAAGGGTGAGGCAGAGGCTCCAGCCTGGGTTTTGGGGGTGAACCCAGGCCTACAGAAGGGAGTGACATTCTCAGTAGGCTTTGATCTAGCCTCTTCTGTCACCACCACCCCTCCAATTCTGTATTCACAGTCATAGCAGGCCCCCCAAATTCCTGTCTATGAAGCAGTTGCAGCAGGTAGAAATGGGGAATCTGCCAAAGGAACTGAGATAAATAATGCAAAATAAAAACATATGGAATTCCAAGAAACGGACTTTCAACTCAGGATCTCTGATCCCAAGGACCAACTCTGAATTCGTGCACTGGCCTCTCTATCTGGGGCCCTCATCACCCACAGGCTTTGCTCCTTAGATCTGTAGCTCTAACCCAGAAACCCTTCTCTGGGGCTGCAGGTTCTGGGAACCTTCTTATGCCATCCTGGCCGGCTCCTTTCTATTCCATGGGGTCAGGACAGAATCAAAACCCATGCAAGTCAAGAGCCTGCCCCAACTTATGACTGATTTCCTTTCTGTCACAGCCTAATTCTGAGTATCTGTCTGCTAAAACTACCTTGGGGAGAATTTTCTGGAAACATGATGCAACACTATTAAAGGCATAGGGACCCTGTTGCCTCTTGACACAAAGGTGTCGCCTAAGTGAGGGCATTCCTGCTGCACGGGACAGTAGAACAAACTCACTTGGAGCTGGGAGTGTGTGAACTGAGTTTGAGCAGTGATGAGCATTTCCATGTTAAATGAACAAGGAACTCTCGTAAGGGAAGAGAAGGAAAGTTGGCTGGCAAGAGAAACTGGATCAGTCATCAAAGGACCTAGAATTTCCCTAAGCTGAATTGCTAAATGTCTTTTTGGGGAGCCCTGAGAGACACTTCTTAACAATTCTTAAGCAGGTGATGGCCCAATTCAAGCAGGAGGATGGAGGATGGAGGATGTTTGGGGAGTGAGCAGCTGACCGGGAGATAGATGAGGAGGCTATGGCTGGACAGGGCATATATCTCCTCCAAGCCAGGGTGGAGTCCACTGGAGAAGTACATTTCTGGAGGCTGAAGCAGGAGAATCCCAAGTTTGAGGCAAGCCTCAGCAGCTTAGTGAGGTCCTAAGGAACTTAGCAAGATCTTGTCACAAAATAAAAAAAAAATTAAAAAGGGCTGAGGATGTGACTCAGTATTTAAGCACCCCTGGGTCCAATCCCTGGTACCCCAAAAATATTCTCTGTGAGCACTGGGTCAGGGAGAGAGACATGGAAGAGAGAATACTTAAAACCTGACAAACAGGGGACAGAAAAGTATTAAAAATAATTCAAGTCCTAACCCTGGTGCAGAGCAGGAGGAGGTGATATGAGACATGCACAGGGAAGCACTGGTTTTTAGGAAATGAGTGTGTGGATACCAAACAGCTCTACCAAGGCCAACATGCAGAGCCACGTGTGATAGAGACACTTCCTGTAAGTGGATGCTCTTCTCCTGTGCCATGGTCTAGCCCAGCTCTGTCCTCAGTTGATGGTCAGCACACACAGAAGCATGACAGAGGCCCAATGCTAGGAGATCATTTCTCCAAAAATGGTCTCTAAGACTGTGCAAGCACAGAGCACTCCTCTGAGAGGAGAAAAAGAGAAGGGAACAAGTGCAGCAGCCCTGGAATGCTTAGGGAGTAGGAGAAGAAGCAGTCAGTGCTCTGGTCATCAGGATGGCTTCCCCAGGATCATGGGAGGAGGAGGGGGAGGTGGAGGAGGAGGAGGTATGGTGAGGCCATGCTTCAGGAGGTCAGAGGGCCTGGAGCACCAGAGAGATCACTGAGTCTGAAAGCAGAAGCAAGCAAGCAGCTGGGCTCCAGGAGGGGCTTGCTGGGGCTGCATCCTTGGAGGAGTGCTCCTGTGAACTTTCTCAGAAAGTTCCCTAGCTGCCTCTCTTTGCAAAATCCATTCTCTCTTATTAGTTCCTAGCACAGAATTCATCTGGCCCTTGACCCAGGAGCAGAGCCATTTCTGCCCCTCTCCCCACATTCTGAAGAAAGAGATGGGAACAAGAGAAATTCTTTTAAGAATGGGGTGATCTAAGCCTGGCTCAGTGGTGCACACCTGTAACCCCAGGGGCTTGGGAGGCTGAGACAGGAGGATCTCAAGTTTAAAGCCAGCTTCAGTAATTTAACAAGGCCCTAAGCAACTCAGTGAGACCCTGTCTTTAAAAAAACGGGGGAGGGGTGGTGCTGGGGATGTGGTTCAGTGGTTAAATGCCCCTGAGTTCAATCCCCAGTACCAAAAAGGTCATGATACACTCCTATAATCTCAGCTACTGGGGAGGCTGAGGTAGGAGAATTGGAAGTTTGAGGCACTGGGCAACTTAGCAAGACCTATTCACAATAAAATGTTTTTAAGGGGCTGAGGATATAGCATAGTGATAGAGAACTTGCTTAGTGTGAGCAAGGTCCTAGATTCAATCTGCAGGACTAAGAGGAGAAAGAAAGGAAGAAGAAAAAGAAAAAAAAAACTGGAGAGATCTGAATAGAGAAAAGAGGGAAGATCAAGATCCTAAAAGGTCATCTCAGGAAGAGCAGAAATGGGACTTAGAAAGATTCCATATCCCTCTCTGGAGAGAGGAGAGGAAAGAATGGGAAGAGACTGAGAAACATGGACGAGTGTGAACCACTGAGAGAGCTGGCAGGCTTCTGCAAGGTTGTCTGAATCCCCTTCACTAGGTGAGAGGTAGGTACCTGCTGGAAATTAAGAGAGCCAGGGATAAGTGAGAAGGTTGAAGAAGGGAGTGCAGCAAGTATGGAACAGCTTTGGGGAGATTTTGAGAGCCCTGCTTCTCAAATGCAATATGTATAAATCACCTCGGATCTCATTTGTATGCGGGTTCTGATTTTGCAGGTCTGGGTAAGATTCTATGTTTCTAACAAGCTCCCAGGTGATGTCAGTGCTGCTTGTCCAGAGGCCACACTGAAGAGTAGGGTTTAGAGAGTGGGCTAAAGAAATGAAGATAGGAATTGGGTTAAGAAACCATCCTTTGATAATATTATCTAGGGTAAAAGCCAAGAAGCAGAGACATGGAGGTAGGAGTGGAAGCCCCCTGCAAGGGATGGACAGTGAGGCAGGAAGCAGAAGGGATGGTAAAGAGGAGAGAGGTCAGAAAAGGGCCTAGGGGAACTTCTGGGGTGGGGGGGAGGCCCAACAGTGTCCCCTGGGACATTTCATCTGGGTCAGAATGGGGCAGAATACTGATTGCATACTTGGGGGCTCCTCACAAGAGGATGGGAGTCAGTTGGGACAGGTAGATAATTTTCAGGGGTTTCTGTTAGCGCCAGCAGCAGCAAAGGCAGGCCACCACCATGCTGTTCTGCAGGACAGTGCTGGACTAATTCCAGACCTGTACACAGCCTGGCCAGAACACACCAGGCCAGAATGTGGGGAGAGGGGCAGAAATGGCTCTGCTCCTGGGTCAAGGGCCAGATGAATTCTGTGCCAGGAACTAATAAGAGAGGAATGGATTTTGCAAAGAGAGGCAGCTAGGGAGAAAGAAGAGGTGAGGCTGGACTCTGAGCCCTTACAGACCTACACGTCCAATTTACAATCAGAAATCAAGAGGTTTCTGAAAGGCACAAGTGGGCTACGAAAATACTTTATGATCAGGCAACCCAGGGAGGAGAATAAGGATGGGAGGTGTAGGGAAACCGCTCAGCTTGTCTGGGCCCCAACCTAAGGAGGGGGGGCGGGAGGGAGAGAGAGAGAGAGAGAGAGAGAGAGAGAGAGAGAGAGAGAGAGAGAGAGAGATGTTTAAGTCCTTGGCCGGGGTTAAACCGAGGTCAGGTTCGCTGGGGGAATTGCTGGGAGGACAGCCCGGGCGGATGGAGAACGAGAAGAGTACAGCTAGAGGCGTCAAAAAGGAGCAAGTCCAGGAACAAGACGTCGGACGTGAAGAGTGAGACGCGTACTTGGGGGAGAGCGATGAGGCAGTAAGGATGCTGGAGCTTCGTCCGGAGGCGACCTAGAGGCAGTGGATGTTCCCCTGTGCGGCGTGGAACGCTCCTCGCCTTGGGCCAGGCTTCCTAGCCGCGCAGACCCAGACCTTCCCTGCCTTGGCTCCTCTGGCCCCCACCGGTCCCACCTGTTCCCTCTCGCGGCCTTCCGCAGGCCGCAGCCCCCAGCCCCGGCGACCGACTCGCCAGGGTCCGCCCCGCCGCCGCGGCCCGAGCCCGGCCGCTCCTCCCCCGATGATGTCACGTCCCTGGCCGCCCCTCGGCCAGCCGCGCCGCCCCGCCCCCGCCTCCCCCGGCCCCCAGTCCCCTGGGCCCGCCCGCTCCCGACATCCCTCCTCCCGCCCGCGCTCCCTCCCTTCGGCTCCCGCTCCCCCGGGAGCGGCGGCGGCGGCGGGATGGCCCGGGCCCGCGGCCAGGCCCCGGGGAGCGGCGGACGGCGGCGGCCGCGGCGGGGCGGCGCGGGAACCGGGCCCCGGGGGGAGTCCGCTGGGCTGCTGCTGCTGCTGCTCCAGGTGCTGCCGCCCGGGGCTGCGGCAGGGCCCGGACGCCGGGGCACTCGGGGCGCCGGCGGTGGCGGCGTCTGCTGGCCCGGTGTTGCCCCTGCCTTTCCCCGGGACGCTCGGCTGCTGCTGCTCCTGCCGCCACTGCCACCACTGTCGCCACCGCCGCCGAGCTCTGCGCCCGCAGCCTCCGCCTCCCGGATGGTAATCAGCGCCCCGCGCCGGCGCCGCGGGCGGGCGGGAGGTGGGGGCGACGAGGGGGAAAGGGCGGGCAGCCCCGCGCCCCCTCCTTGCCCGAGGCAGCTCCGGGGCGCTCGGGCCCCCCCTCCGACGACCGCGGCCCCGGGCAGCCGCCAGGGCGCGCCTCTGGGGCGCCTCCGTGCGGACCGGGTGCGGGCTCCGTTCCCCGCCCTCCCAGCCCAATTCGCAGTCCGCCCGCCAGTGCTCAGGCCGCGGGGGAATCCCTCCATCTCCCCGCCCCGCGCCCCGGGAGGGGAGGGGACAGCGCCAGCGCCCGCGGACCCGCTTTCTCCGAGGGAGCGCCCAAGAAGCAAGCGCGCACTGAGCCACCCGGACTCCGCGCTGCGCTGCATTCTTGGAGGCGCCTGGTGCCGTCGGGTCCGCCTGAACTGCGACGCCCACAGCCTCGGCGGGACCGGATCCCCGGCGACAGAGGCGCCCACAGACCGCGCGCCCTTATGTTCCCTGCGCAGGACGCTCTGCCCCGCGGCGGGCTGAACCTGAAGGAGGAGCCGCTGCTGCCCGCTGGCCTTGGCTCAGTGCGCTCCTGGATGCAGGGGACGGGCATCCTGGACTCCAGCACAGCAGCGCAGAGGTAAGCGCTCTACCCGACCCAGCGGCGCTCAGGTTGGACCGTTCTGCGCCGCTTTCGCTCCGCTGTCTTAGTTGCTGGAGCCAGGGGTGGAGGGAGCCCTAACTCTGGACGGTCTCGTTGAGTTCTCGTGCTTCCCCTGTCCCGAGCGCCTAGGCTTCCTCCAGAGGTTATGGGGCGGGCCGGGGCGGGGCTTCTGCTTTCACTCTCGGGGCTGTCCGGACTCTGATTTCTGAAGGTCGCTCACGGAGGTTCAGGGCTCTAAAGGAGGAGGCAATCTTTTTGCCCGCAGTCTCTAAGCCATCACCCAAAGCCACCAGCCGTCTAGGAACCTCCAACCCCTCCTAGGCAGTCCCAGTGCCTCTGCTTGTCCAATTCCGCGGTCTTCTGCCAAGACAAGAAACTCTGCCCACTTTCTCCTTTCCCACACTCATCAGAGTTACAGGGCCAGAGATGCTGCTGAGGGGCGGAAGGGTGGTGAAGGGATTAGGAGGGCATTGGGCCTGGCTGCACTGATCACTGATCGGGGAATGGGCCGGGCCCTGCCTCTTCATCAGGTGTTTTTCCGTTAGATCCTGTGGGAGGCAGGGGGCCCTTGAGAACGAAGGGCCCAAGCCTATCTCTCCTGACTTTGCAGGGGTCTGGGTGGGGACCTAGATGAGGATGGACTTCAGGATTTGGACGGACGTGAAAGGCTTATTGACTAGTTTCCTTCAGCACCTGGAACACCGAACTTTTAGTAACCCCAGTTGCAAACAGCTGGAGCAGGGTGGGCTCTGGGCTTTGGGCTTCCCGGAAGTTTCAGCAGCTGCTGTCCAGCCGCTTGAAATGAGTCTGATAGGGAGTTCCCAAGGCAGACCAGGCCTGGCACACCTGCCCACGTTCACATCCCCAGTCCTGTCCAGGGACCACCACTCATAATCCACTCCAACCTTACCCTGTAACGCACACACACATCGCTTCATGTGCAAACCCAAGCAGTGTTTCTTCCAGCCTATCCTTTCAGGGCCATCAGGAAGGAGCACTGTGGCCTCTGGCTAGAGCTGATCTCTTCAGAAGGACAAAGCGTCTTGCTGATGAATCAATTCCCTAAAGTTTTATGAGTAACATAACTATATTCTAGAAAAACTGGAACACACACACACACAAAAAAAAAAAAAAAAAATCTGGCCTCTGTATCAACTATTGTCAGCATTTTAGTGTATTTCTTTCCCATCTTTTTCTCCACTAACTGGTTTTTGTTTGTTTGTTTGTTTGTTTGTTAATGTATGCTATGCTTAGAAATGTGTGTCCTGCCTATTTTTCTGTTTATTCTGGCTTTTTCTTTAACTTGAGATGCTCAGTTTCTTTACCTGGCCTATCCTTATCCCTATCGCTAGCTGTGCAGTGAGAGTTCTTTGCAATAACTAGTGGGGAGTTGCAGTGGAGTTTCTGAGATCCAAGTTTCCTCTTTCTCCCTGATCTTTCCCTCTGTGCCTGCCCAGAGGTTGTAGGTTGGCTGAAAGGAAAACATGCAAAGGAGGCAGCACCCTTGTATCCTGTATGTTGCAGGAAGTGTGGGGATGAGCCCCATGCCCAGGACTGGATCATCGGTAGTGAAGTTTGAGCAGGGGGGTTATTGAGTGGGGTTGAAGTGTCCAATCTGACTACCCAGGGCCACATCACTAGGACTCAGAAACCTTCATCAATTTGAACAGGGAGGGGTATCTTCAGGCTGCTTGCTTCCAAGTTCAGAAACTTCCAAGTCTCAGGACCCAGAATGAGAGCCCCACACATTTAGTTGAATCTCTTCTCTTCTTTCAGAAGGAGAGGCTAATCCTTGCTCCTCATCCTTCTTCATATCCTGCCATCTCTCTATTGATACTTTATTCTTTAGTCAGTTCTCTACTCAGGTCTTCCCATCCCAAAACAGCAAAAAGGGACATTCCTTTCCTGTCCCCACCTACCTCTTCAGCCTCTGCTGGCTTCCCCAAGGCAGTTTGGAAGTGAAGAGTTGTCACTGATGTCTTCCCTTCCTTCACCCTAAAGCCACCTGGTTGTCAAGGCTTATGGATGTTTCCTTCTGTGTCCCAGTCCCAATCTCCATCCCACAGTCACCACTTTTAACAATGATTCCTCCTCGCTCCTGACCCAATCCCTCCCTGGGTTGAAGGATAGCTGTGCCCTGGTTTGCCAGCTCAGCCTCCTGGTCTGGTTCCCTGCCTCCACCTCTTACTGCTCCCTCAAAACCATCTTTCATGCGCCACAGACCAAAACATTATTTCCACTTTTTTTCTGATCATGTCTCTGACCTGATTAAAAATAAAGTGACACACCCCACTGTGGCACTTGCTCTGTGCCCTCCCATCCTACCCAGGGGAATGGTAGTTAGTACCATCTAAGGATGCTTACCATAGGCCAGAGAGCTTCCTCTACCTGTCCCTACGTCCTCCTGGATAACCTGTATTCACGGCTCATCAAAATCTGATCCCAGCCTTCCTTTCACAGTGTATGACACTTGGCATACAATGTGGAAAATTAACGGGACTGCCAGTAAGTCCTACCTTCTCTTAAAATAGTCCCCTGCACTCAGTGTCCACATACTCCTAAATAAAGTCTCAGCAGCCTTCAAGACCCCTCCCCCACACCAGCATCTGCTCTATCTGTGCCCTCCCATCCTCCCCATCCCTCAGGATGCTTACCACAGGCCAGAGTTTGCTGTTCTCTCTGCCTGTCTTTATCTTCCTGGCCCTGCCAGCTGGGGCCTTCCTCTAGGGCCAGAATGGTGGCTCATTCATTCTTGTGTCCACGTCACCCAAGACAGGCTCAATCAGTCTGCAAAGGGATAATGAGTATCTGCTGAAAATAGCAGAGTGCATCTGAGAAGACTCCCAAATCCCTTTCTGTTGGGTTCCCCTCTTCACCTTGGTGGCCTCCAGGAACCTGGTACTGGAGAAGCTATTCCTTCCCCCATTTTATAACTTGGCCTTTACAAAATGCCAAGGTTTTATAGAAGGTGGGTGAGGAGGAGAGGGCCCAGAAGGCTTCCCAAGGTCAATAAGAGTGGCTGTGCCCACAGGAAGGAAAGTTCTGAGCAAGAGAGGTAGGGAGAGAAGAGGAACTGTGTACCCATCACTTGGAGGCAGGAGACAAGGGCAGGGCAGGTGAAGACGGTGCTAGTAGAGAGGGCTTCTCTCTCCCTGCTGATATCTTCCTACTAGGGAAGTCTGCACAAGGACCCCTGGCCATTGCTGTGACTGTTCCTTACCTGAACCAATAGGACTTTATCTCTGAGACCACATGCACAACCCCAGCCCACTCTCCCTGCCTCCCCTGCAGACCCACATTCTTCTGCTGGCGGGATCAGCACAGGGGCAGCTCCCTCCTCCTTCAATTGTGCTTCCTAGGCTGGGGAGACCTCTGGAAGGCCCAGACCAGTCCTTTCCCCAGATGAGACCCCTGGAGGACCCGGGCCGGCTTTCTCCCATGAGCCTGTCCTAGCCCATGAGCAGGGCCTCGGAGAGGGAAGCCAGCTGGGGCTGCCTTTCCTGTAAGCAGCTGCAGGCCAGCCTCCCTGCTAGGAAATGCTTTTGTTTGCTTTAATAATTAATAGCCGCTCCTCTGCCTGGGACCTGGCAAGCAGGCCTGCGGGTGGGTGGTGAAGAGAGGGTGGGCAGAAGAGAGGCAGGGTGGGCAGTCTGTAGGTAGAACTGAGGGCTAGAGGGAGAGAGGGAGAGCCTTCTTTCCCCTTGCACCCCACCTCCTTCGGGGACCTGGGTCACTGAACCAACTTCCTGGGGCAAGTGAGCAGAACATCTGCTAGACAGTGGGAAGAAGGGATCTGGAGCCTTTGCAGCCCCAAACCTCCTCTCCAGGAGGACCATCTGCACACAGGATCTGGGCAGCTGCCTCTAGCCACCAGGCCTTCCCTCTGCCTGCATTGCTGAAGTGGGTGACCCTGTGTGCTACTGCTTTTATCTTCCCTGGTTTGTGGCACTGGGCATGTCGAGGGGTGAGCAGGACCAGGCCAATAGATCTTGGCTGGGGCAGGAATACCAGGCTCAGCATGATGATCATTGGCAGTCCCAGGGGTTCAGAGGATGCCTTTGGGAGAGGAGTGGGTACCAATGGGGTGCTTAGAGAAAGGCAGAATGTGGAGGAAAGGAACAGGGGACTTATGAAGTCATGTCAGGATGGGAAAGAGAAAAAGCTGTATTTAGAGAGACCAGGGATGGAATGCAGGAGACCTACACTTTTTGTTCCTCCCTCTTGATGGAGGCGGAGGATGGCCAACAAAAGGTCGCCTTCCATTGCTGTCGATCCCAGGGCTTGTCACAGTTACCCCAGCATCCCAGACTTGAAGATGGATCAGGCTCAAGCCTTGGGCTGAGCCACCTCTCTGAGCCTTGGGCTGTCAGGGTGGGCATGAGCTAAGATGGGGTGGGGGAAAGAAGGCAGAAGATCAGGGCTCCAGCCTAGGTCATGTGTCTTCTGGGGGGGGGGGGGGCGGTTGGGATGGCTGTCATTAAATTGCTCATATTTGTAATAAGCATGTGGTCAAGGATATAAAGAGCCACTAGTGGTTTGCGGATAGAGAACAGAGACGACAAAAGGGGGGCTTTATCTATACTAGAGGGACCTGGCAGGGTCCTGGCTGCCCTGAGAAGAGCCCTAGGAAATCCTGTTAAACCTTGCAAGAGAGCATCTCCAGGGATCTGTGAATGGTCCCATCAATAGCAGCCAGACATTCTGTAGCTCCCACCATTTCCTCACATGCCTCCCTGTGTGCTCTGGGGTATTGTTAATCTGACCAGCTGAGTGGCCACGGCTGTGAAGCCTGGTGTCACTTGGCAGTGCTCAGGAAGCTCAGGCACACCCATGGTTTGGTACAAGGCAGGTTTCCTCTGACCAAAAAGTATGTGTGCAAAATAAATCTTTTTGGTGACACAGCCTCTGATTTTGGAACTAGCTAGGAACAGGAGATGTAAAGGGGGTGAAATGGGGTGTGGGAGAAATACAGAAGT